ACAATTTCCATACATTCTTTGGAGTATAGTATTACACTTAACCTCAATGGTGTGTACACAATCCATTTATCCCAGTACTTAATACATTTTTCCAAATTAAGTCTAACAGTAAATGTAAGTCTCTCCATAGAGTATATTTCGTTTACAATTCCCAACCACTGGTCCCTCGTTGGAAGGTCAGCCTGAAACCATTTACGTGTTATGGCTTTCCTACTGCTTTCTAAAAATATTTTTAATAAGTATTTGTCACTGTCTAGAACTGTTTTAGGAATTTTTCCTAGGTACAGCGTAATGAATGAAAAATCCAACTCCTCCCCTAATATTTTCCCAATTTCAGCTGCCACTTCATGCCAGTAAGACTGTATTTTTTTTGGAAAGGTTTTTAAATGTTTTCGAAAGAACTCTCTAATGCTAACAAAGGCTGCATTTATATGATGATATGCTTTTGCATAAATATGCTGATTTGGAGCTCAAGAAACATTTATTATTATTATCAATGTTGAAAGTGCTGCTCTTTTGTAAAAACTTTTTTCAGGATTTTTCGATGAGTAGAAAATTCAAAAGAACAGCATTTATTTGAAGTAACACATTTTTGTAACAAGGTATATTAATATTGTATTTTGTCCCCTAGAATGATGCAGCCAAAGAGTTCCAAGAGAAACAAAAAAAGGACATGGAGAAGATTAAAGACATGAATCTTTCAGAGTGAGTATTCCCGGAGTAATAGCCCAAACTGCATTCATTTAACAAGGTCTTTTTTTTACTCCCGAGATTTTATAACTATAATGTTTTAGTTTTGCATTACCGTTTCCACCCTTTCTCTGAGCTTTAGAGGTGATGACCACTTTAGGTAGATGTAAAATGTTATGTTGTTGACCCCCTCTTTCCATTCTGAATTTTTTTATAAAGGTACATGATTCGAGGAGATGATGAGGAATGGGACCAAGTGTTGAAGAAAGCAGGACATACTGCTATTGTTAGCATAAAAAGGTAAGCAGTTATAAGCAGCTTGGGTGGGTTTTGTCTGGAATCATGAACTGCTATGAAATTTGATCTTTTTTTCCTCCTTAGTGACAAGAAAAGAAAACTGGAAGGCATGAATCAGAAAGAACAATGGCAAAGCAAGAATATGAAGAAAAATAAGGACAAAAAGAGCAAATTTAGAAAGAACCCATAAAAGAAATGGACTTTAAAATGAAATTTATTTGTGTCGTCTTGTTTCTCTGGACAATAGATTTATTCAAGACACAAGTCGACATACTGCTATTGTTAGCATAAAAAGGTAAGCAGAGTTATAAGCAGCTTGGGTGGGTTTTGTCTGGAATCATGAACTGCTATGAAATTTGATCTTTTTTTCCTCCTTAGTGACAAGAAAAGAAAACTGGAAGGCATGAATCAGAAAGAACAATGGCAAAGCAAGAATATGAAGAAAAATAAGGACAAAAAGAGCAAATTTAGAAAGAACCCATAAAAGAAATGGACTTTAAAATGAAATTTATTTGTGTCGTCTTGTTTCTCTGGACAATAGATTTATTCAAGACACAAGTCCTAATGAAAATATAATTTTCAGTAAGAATTTTAGAGACAATTGTTTTAACATTTTTTGGCAAGACTCTGGCTCTGCAGGTGTTTTCAGTGAACAAACAAAATAAAGTTGTACATTGTTGTTTTTTCTTTTAACCATGGTGTAGACCTCATATTTTTCTATGAAAGCTAATTTCAGAAGCCATCTGTAAAATAAATGATAATCTTAAGGTGCATTACTTGTGTACAAAATATACTCATTAACACTTGAATGTTTGCTAAATTTAGTAAAAATTCTGAATTTGAGAGAGATGTGTACACACTGTACATAATATTTTGTTTTCTTTACACACAGTTTGCAAACAAATGTAAGATTGACATACATATTCAACTAATATGTTTCAAAAATGCAAATACTTTTTTGTATTGCTTTCAGAAAGCATACTTTAATTTTTTACCCATTGGAAATGATATAACTTGCAGTGCATACTACAAATTAGTATATTAGGATTGTTATATAGGGACATGTAAACTCAGAGTATTGAATAGGCCAAAATCCAGTGATCTTTGTTCTCCCAATGGTTTGGTTATTCATTGGTGGAACTTTATGACTGCATTGCTCAACAACTATTCAGTAACGGACTTTGCTGCATTGATGAGAAGCGAAGATCCTTGGCGTATTTTCTACAGAATTCCTGAAAGAAATTTAAACTTATTCTTTGTCGTTTTGCTGTCTCGAGGAAAAATAACTCAGTATGGAGATACCTGTCGTAGATTTCAGTGCGTACGAACTGGAAAAGACAAATATATCAGTTCTTAACTTGGAGAAGTTAAGTGACGAACTAAGAAAGGCCTTTACCGAGGTGGGATTTGTTTATCTGAAAAACTCGGGCATAAATCAGGACGAGGTTTGTCATTTTTTACTTGTTTGTTACGAGAAGTTTACTTAGTTTGTAGGTGGCTGGCTATTATTATTATTATTCTCTGTCAATTGTTTCAGGTGGACAAAGTCATGGGTGTTTCAAATAAGTTCTTCTGTTTGCCAGAAAGCATGAAGTAACCTTTCAGCAGGGGCAGTTTCTCATGTAATGGAAACCACGGCTGGATTTCGGTAGAAACGGAAAGGCATGTCAGATTCTTCTAGCTTCAGAAGCATTACTGCTGAAAATTAACGAATGATGGAGAAACATTTTAATGGTTTTATATCTTGTCTTATCACAGTTTGAATCCTCGATGTCCCGGTGATCTGAAGGAGGCGTTTAATACAGCATCTTTGTGCTCGGATATCGTAAATATCTCTTTCTTGTCCTCTCTCTCTTACTGCTATGTGTGAACATAGCATGACGTTGACAGTAGTAAATTTCATAATATTAATATTTGGTAGAAACCAATATTTTTTCAAGGAATTTGATGACTGGAAAGTTCAAAAGAACAGTATTTATTTGAAATAGAAATCTGAAATAGAACACACACGCACACACACCCCTATACATAATTTAGAAAAAAAAATGAAATGACAGCTAGCCTTGGCTGCCTCTGTACATATGGAAAAAAAGTATTTATATTTAAAATATAAAGTATTTTTTAATATGCACATTTGTGTTTTGTTTGTTTTTTAAATGTTATTAACATTAAGATACTTTAAGGAAGCCTGACTTTATAACCCTCCACTCTCACTGTGTTCAGAATTGGCCTTCAGAAGGAGTTGATGATTTTCGAGATGTCCACGTATCATTTTACCTGCGCTGTAAGGAACTTTCTCTCAGAGTGCTCAGAGTGATGGCTCTTGGTTTGAACCTGGAAGCAGAGGTCTTTCTCAGCGCACATAAGCATATTGGAAGTAAGTAAATTATATATGCATTACTACTTTCTGCCAGGGAGTCAATGGAAGGGAGATCTGCAAGACCTTAATGATGTGGGTGGTTTTAAGGTGATGTGAATGGAACGACTCTACGGACTCTGTACTACCCTCCGGTGAACAGCACATGTGTGAAGGAAAATCAGCTGCGCTGTGGTGAACACTCTGATTATGGTAGTATCACTTTGGTCTTCCAAAGCTCAGAGGGTGGACTGCAGGTGAGCACCAACATAGGACAAGAGGAGAAAAGATTCATGTGCTCCTATCATTTAGGATAGTAATTCTGGATCTGGATGCATTCTTCTCCTTCAGGTTCTGAACCGGGCTGGAGAGTTCATTTCAGCCCCCAGCATTCCTGGAACAGTTCTGATTAACATAGCAGACCTGATGCAAAGGTGGACCAGTGATGTCTATGTGTCTGCCGTAAGTTTCTTTACTAATGCTTCATTTAATTGTGCAGTGCAGGCAATGCTCATTTAATTCTTTTCTATTGTTCTGACCCTCAGGTTCATAGGGTTTTGCTGCCCCCTGCAGGTGACTCCAGCACACGTCAGTCTTTGGCCTTCTTTGTACAACCTGATGATGAGGCCATCATTTCATGCTGCGATGGATCAGATAAATATCCTCCTGTTAAGTCAGGTGATTACCTTCTATCAAGGTTCAAAGATTCTTACGGCAAAAAATAGATCCTGGTTTAAGTAAAATTTTATGATTTTTTTGTTTAAAAATGAAAATTAAGTGCTAATCATCCGCACATAATTGGTGAAGCTAAGATAATTTAATACATTGTAGAGAAACATAATGCACAGTCATTTACTTTTAAAGTCACAAAGGATACTCAAACAAGCAAAAAAAAAGAACAATCCATACCAATTTTATGCTTGGAATTGGATTTCTGTATATTTTATAAATTTATACATTGTTTATAGCAGAACACTGGTTGAAAACCATGATATACCATAATGAATAAAAAAAAAAAACAGCTTAAAATAATTCACTGGTGTTGCAGCAGAAATTCATTAAAACATTAAGAAACACTTAATGTAATTCAATGTAATGTAATGTAATGTAAGACCCTTGTAATTCAATCCAGGATTGACTTTCAGCTGAAACTAAAGCAAAGAATATTATATTCTATCCTATATTCTTTTCATTGGAAGTGCCATGCAATAGGAATGCTGAATTATAGGGCATTTAACTTGACATGAAATGTGTAAGTTGGCCAGGTAGAATATCAAATGCATGTAAAGAGAAATTTATCCTGTGAGGTTTGGCCATGTTTGTGCAAAGACTGACAAGAAATTTACAAGAACAATAAAAGCACAGTTAATTTCTCTAAACACAGTTTCAAGTACAATCCCTGTCTTCACAAACTATCTGCACCTTTGATAAGAGAATGTGGACAGAAGTGTGATTACAGAATTATCTACAGAATTCTGTTAACCATTTACATACTTCAGCAGCCTGTTTTGGGATACCATAACTCAATATTTTATGTTTGAGAATACCACCACAATTTGTTTGATTGCTTCAAGGAAAGCCAAGGTCTTTGCTAAGAGACAGTAAATGGTCCTTTTGAATGTGAGGATGGAAATATTTGACACAACAGTCAAACGCATTACAGACACTGAGAAGAGCTTGAGCTGCTAAGAATGTGTGGGGAGGTCTTGCTGGTGACCTTGTGACATAGGCTGCAGAAGGTACTGCATTCGCAAAAAACAAAGAAATACGATGATAGAAAATGATGGGCCCAAATGCCTTTGACCGGAAAATTGTAAAACAATTACACTGACCTTTGGCCTGCACTGGAGGCTCTGTTTTCTGTGTTTTCAAGTCAAGTCAAGTCAAATCACCTTTATTTATATTGCGCTTTTAACAATACAGATTGTGTCAAATTTAATTTAAAGGATTTACCACTGATGATTCAAATGCGAGTTTCAGTCACACGCTTGAGGTATTCGGCCAATCACAACACACTGGATAGCTGGCCAATCACAGCACACCTCGCTTTTCAGACCGATGAGCTTTGTAAAAATTGATGCGTTTCAGAAAGGCGGGGCATAGAGGAGAAACAATAATGTACAGTATGTGGAAAATAATGTGTTTTTTGAACCTTAAACCGCATAAACACATTTCATTACACCAAATACACAAACTAATGTTCTTTTTAGCAACATCATATGACCCCTTTAACTTGTTTTCTTTGCATTACTTGAGGTCCTGTAATGATCTTTAGCTGATTAATATTTGTGACCCTGGACTACAAAACTAGTCATAAGGGTCAATTTTTCGATTTGACTGAATAAATAAGCTTTCCATTGATGTATGGTTTGTTAGGATAGGACAATATTTGGCCGAGATACAACTATTTGAAAATCTGGAATCTGAGGGTGCAAAAAAATCTAAATATTGAGAAAATCGCTTTTAAAGTTGTCCAAATTAAGTTCTTAGCAATGCATATTACTAATCAAAAATTAAGTTTTAATATATTTACAGTAGGAAATTTACAAAATATATTCATGGAACATGATCTTTACTTAACATCCTAATGATTTTTGGCATAAAAGAAAAATCGATAATTTTAACCCATACAATGTATTTTTGGCTATTGCTACAAATATACCCCAGCGACTATATTTATTACACTTTATTAGCATTTATATACACGTGTGTCTTTAGGTTTTAGTCTGTCTGTATCATTTATACTCATCAAGGCTGATGTATACTCCACACACCCAGAAGTTTTTTTTCTCTCTTTATTAATCAACCTATGAATCGGTAAATACAATATCACAGAACATCAAAAAATATAACATAGAACAAAGAACAGATAACAGATAACAGCCAGGGGAAAGAAAACTCAAATTTAACCTAAATAAATATGCCAAAAAGCTGACAAAGACCTATATTTCAGTGGTTTTTAATTAAAAACACCCAAGTAAAATCTTTTAAAACCTACATAAATATTAGACAATAAAAGATATACAGTTATATTATATTCGAAAATATATTTTACTGTGGATTTTTAAGATAAAATAAAGTCTGTCAAAAACTATATCACTGATAATTTCCTGCTTTCTCTACAGGCATTATTAAAATTTCTTCAGAGTTGACATGACATTTTCAATAATTTCTTCTTAAAGATGACCATAACTCTGTCCATGTCAAGTTTCACTGGGTTTTAGAATTTGGGAGAAAAATAAAGGTAAAGTCTGTCAAAGTACATTAAAACACTGACCATTTCATTTTTTGTATAGAATAATCGAGACTTTTCCTTTAAAAACACTTTTATTACTGCCTCCTTAAAGGGATAGTTCACCCAAAAATGTCATTAATTACTCACTCTCATGTCATTCTAAACCCGTAAGACCTCCGTTCATCTTCGGAACACAAATGAAGATATTTTTGATGAATTCTGAGTGCTCTCTGACCCTCCCATAGACAGCAATGTAATTACCACGATCAAGGTCCAGAAACGTAGCAAGGAGATCGGTAAAATAACCCATGTGACATCAGGGGTTCAACCGTAATTTTACGAAGCTACGAGAATACTTTTTGTACCCAAAGAAAACAAAAATAATGACTTTATTCAACAATTCGTCTCCTCCGTGTCACCCTGGTGCCATTTTGGAGAATATCCACTGAATGCAAACAGCGTATGCTAGTCTGTGTCAGTCTGTCTGTGGATACGCGTGACACAGCTGACACAGAATAGCATACGCTGTTTGCGTTCAGTGGATATTCTCCAAAATGGCACCAGGGTGACACGGAGGAGACGAATTGTTGAATAAAGTCGTTAGTAATTAATGACAGAATTTTCATTTTTGGGTGAACTAACCCTTTAATATTGTAAAGGATATTTCACGAATTCACACTTACATATAATTAGCTGAAGTATAGTAATGTGTATTTGGCGTGCTGTCCGGGGAAGGGCTCCGAGCTCGGGAATGGCCCGAACCCAGAGTACTCCCCCCATATAAGTGTAGTTAGAGCTCGAAGTGAGGAGATGGGGCGGTGGAGGGATGCTGATAAACCGTCGATAGATAGAGGTAAGTCTGCTGTATTTATACCGCTGTGTGTTGATTAACTTGAGTGCGCTCCTCTTGTGTTAATTAGTCTAAGTATCTGACGTGCTCTTCCCGAACTTTGTTAATAAAACATCATATAATAACAAACACATTTTCAGTTTTTATTCTTTTTGACATTTTTTTTTATAGTGATGTATAAAATAACTGCTTATCACCAGACACATCTTACACAAGACTTTTTTACTGTAAAGCACATTCATGCCAGATATCTTTTATTTACTCTTCGGCAAACTAAAACCAACCCAGATCTCAGCCGAATATTTTCTTTTTCTGACGAACCAAACTCCAACCACAGCTCAGCCAAATATATACAGTTTGCTTTTTGTTTCTTTTGGTTGGCCAGATTCCAGCCATAGCTCAGCCAATTGCTGTTGTTTCGAATAAGATAAAAAAAAAATAATAATGCAACCAAGGCCAAAGTATGAGAAACAAAAAATGATTAATTCATTCATTCTTTTGTCACGTCATATCCACATCAAAGCCTTATCCCACTGTACTCTATAACAAAGAACATTTCACATGCATCAACAAGAAGGAACAACAAAAAGAAAAAGATTAAAAAAAAAACTGAAATCGCATCATATGACCCCTTTAAGGCTTTAACCCAGAAAACGCTGACTGAGGTATGTTCAGGTCTACCTTTAAAGGCAAATCAGAAGAATATACAAAATAATTAACAGCTATTGGCTCATACAAATGGCTTTAAAGGGGTCATCTGATGCAAAATTCACTTTTACATGTTGTTTGAACTGAAATGTGTCTTGGCAGTGTGTATACACAACGACCCTATAATTATAAAAATCCACCCAGTGCTTTTTTAAAAATATTATAAATCCAAACCCCTTTCTAATATCAAGCCGATCTCAGATTCTTGGCAGAATGACGTAGTTCTGCACAGGCCCCTCCCACGGTTGTTGATTGACAGTGGTGTCAGTCTTTGGTTTTTTGAGATGGTCCTCACTGCAGAACACAAGATCCAAGGGGGCGTGGTTGCACCAGATCCAACTCCTCCCACCTTACATATACCTAAACCTACCCGTCTCCACCCCCTGATCCCCAAACCCACCCATCTCCACCCCTAAACCTACCAATCTTCACCCCCTAGATGTGGATCCAACCACGCCCCCTGGATCTTGTGTTCTGCAGTGAGGGGCTACTGTTTTTTTTTTTTCACAGCTCCGCCCTGAGTGAGCTGTCATCAGAGTCCGCCATTGTTTCGATGCCTGAGCGGTTATAGACAAGAATGGCTCCTTAGCGATTTACGTGTTTTTTTGTTGGATGTAATAATGAACATAGCAGTCGTCATTTACTCCCGACATCTGAGGCACTGAAGAAGCAGCGGATTACCTTTGTTTCTGAAGGGAATGCGCTCCCGATCTGCCTAAATGCGTCTATGTTCGCGTGAATCATTCGTGATCTAGCTTCACCTACATAACGGAGTTTTTTTTTTATGAATCTTTGCAAATCGCCTTTCCTAATAATGTGCTGGTTAGCAAGTTTCACGATGAATGCGGCTAAAGTTTACAGTCTCTCAGAGAGCGGCTTGGAAGAGAGGGGCGGGGTGAGCAGAGCTCATTTGCATTTAAAGGAACGTGCAACATAACAGCTTGCTGTAAACAGAGCTGATTTTGACAGGGTAAAAAGGGTGTTGTTTTGCACTACCATTGAGAAATTTTAACCGAAGTATGTTATAGACTTTTCATTAAGACTCTAGAGAATCATATCAAACTGTCAAATCAAATCCGATGACCCCTTTAATCGTCCAATAAACATATGACACAATTTTTAAAGGGGTAATGAACTGCCTTTTTTTAAAATTATTTGGTACTGTTCACTGAGGGTCACTTATAATGTTATCAAGATTTTTACATCAAAAAACATAATTTAGAAGTAATAGGCTCTTTTCTGTCCTGTTTTGACCTCCCGCATCAGAATGCTCTGTTTGAATAGCCGTGGCAGATTGTAGACTCGGAAGTAAATGCCCACTGCTATGATTGGCTAACATGGTATGATTGGCTAATATTGGTATGTTTGACAGCCTACATCCTTCACAGATGGATGCTGCTGTAATTTAGGTTAAAAACGCATATATACAGGGCCGTCTCTAGGCATAGGCGAGCTAGGCGGTCGCCTAGGGCGCCACCAGCTGAAGGGGCGCCAATGAGCGCACGTACTGGCACTTTTAGCAGGGTTGTGATAAAGAGTGGCACGGTCACCCTGAAATATGACTGCCGCTCCAACTGGATCCCCCAACATTATTGGGCTAGAGTACTGTCAATAATCTGACGATGCCTGTATGCCACTAGATCAGCGTGCTGTCAATTGCTGCCTGATTGTTGCATGCAAAGTTTGCATTTGGAGCGCTCAACAACGCCATTAGATCAGTGGGCTCTGTCAGTGCTTTGGCAAGGTAACACTTTTTTTTGCCATGCAATAAAGCACAAGCAACTGGTGTCTGAAAAGAATTATATACATACATATATATATATGTATATGTATGTATATAATTCTTTTCGTTTCTAGCCAATTTGATGCCCTAGGCGAAATCCCTATTGCCCCCCCCCCTTCCCCCCCTTCCCGAATTATATATATAAGTTGCAATAGGGATTTCGCCTAAATATGCAATAGGGATTTCGCCTAGGGCGTCAAATTGGCTAGAAACGCCCCTGTATATATACTCCATATCAAATGATCTGTAATAACAGACAAAGCAATAGTGACTCACACTTGTTGCGACATTACTGTTGGATCAAATATAGTCTACACAGCATCATCTTTTAGTTTCAATCTTTCTGAAAATCCTGCGTTGAATCGTGCTTTGTTTGTAAATGAATCTGCGGTGAAATGAAGTGAACAAAGGACAAAGTGGGCAGGGTTAAACAGGCAGTGATGTAAAAGAAGGTGTTGATCTTCTTCTGCGGAGGCAGTGCTTATTCACACTATTACATCAGAGTTGTACGTTCCACAAGCTGTCATTTTGGCAGATTGGCTTCAATATAAGCTGCTTTTATAGACCAACAAGAAAGTTTTAAGCTCTGAATCTTACAGGATTTTTTATATTACAATGACCTCTTATTATGTCAAAAGACCAAGAGAATTTTGATTTTGCAGTTCATGACCCCTTTAACTTTTAACACACTTAGCCTAGTGCCACCAAGCTCATACACCGAAACATATGAGAACACCACCCTCCCCGGGTGAGTGTAGCATGTTATTAACTAATACAATAACTACAAATATTCTGTGAGAGTCGGCAACAATTGACTTAAATAGTAAAATATGTAAAATAGTAGATAAATAAGTAAATATAAAATTTCACAATGAATTAGCCTATATCAGAAGTTATGCTAACAGTCGAGCATGTAAGGTGAATGTGTTGTATTTCATTATTTGCGGGGTCTGCTGTGGACCAGTAACATTGTTTAAAACCCAGCTCTGACAGACTATAGTAAAAAAAAAAAATGTTTTTTACTGTTTTCAGCACCTCTTTATATAGTTCTCTCAACCCCCCCCCATAGCATTCAGTTGTTGCTGTGTTCACATTGCACGATGGAACGACGACGGGACACTGCATGACTTTACAATAGGAAGAATCGCCGACAGCTCTGTCTGGTGCAGGGTTGCCAGGTTTTCGCTACAAAACCGCCCAATTACTACTCAAAACTAGCCTGAAAATAGCCCAATTGCTTTCGAGGGGGTCCCCCAGTAAAAATCGGGTTCTGGGGTAAAATACAAATTTTTTGGGCGGGGTTCTCCTGGTACAATTCACATTCCAGGGCCTAAATATCATGTTCATTGGGGCCGCTTCAAGCTGCTGACATAAAAAACAACCGGCGGCAATCGCAGATTTGGCAACAGTGGTCCGCAAACTACGTTTCATGTTACTCCTCCCCGAACTTCCCGCTGCCCTGTATCTTGGTCTCTCATTGGCTGTAGAGGTCATCGCCGATGTGTTTTTCAGTCAGAACTCATTTCACACAGCGTGATTGTGAATCGACGTGTCAGTGATTTCCTCAGATCGTGTCTTTGATAATTCACACTGCGTGATTGTCACTCGCGTGAACGAGCACCGATTTGCCTCCGATTTCGACATTACATTGAATTACATTAAGTGTTTCTTAATGTTTTGATGAATTTCTGCTGCAACACCAGTGAATTATTTTAAGCTGTTTTTTTTTTTTATTCATTATGGTATATCATGGTTTTCAACCAGTGTTCTGCTATAAACAATGTATAAATTTATAAAATATACAGAAATCCAATTCCAAGCATAAAATTGGTATGGATTGTTCTTTTTTTTTGCTTGTTTGAGTATCCTTTGTGACTTTAAAAGTAAATGACTGTGCATTATGTTTCTCTACAATGTATTAAATTATCTTAGCTTCACCAATTATGTGCGGATGATTAGCACTTAATTTTCATTTTTAAACAAAAAAATCATAAAATTTTACTTAAACCAGGATCTATTTTTTGCCGTAAGAATCTTTGAACCTTGATAGCCTTGATAGACCTGACTTAACAGGAGGATATTTATCTGATCCATCGCAGCATGAAATGATGGCCTCATCAGCCTCATCATCAAAGAAGGCCAAAGACTGACGTGTGCTGGAGTCACCTGCAGGGGGCAGCAAAACCCTATGAACCTGAGGGTCAGAACAATAGAAAAGAATTAAATGAGCATTGCCTGCACTGCACAATTAAATGAAGCATTAGTAAAGAAACTTACGGCAGACACATAGACATCACTGGTCCACCTTTGCATCAGGTCTGCTATGTTAATCAGAACTGTTCCAGGAATGCTGGGGGCTGAAATGAACTCTCCAGCCCGGTTCAGAACCTGAAGGAGAAGAATGCATCCAGATCCAGAATTACTATCCTAAACGATAAAGGAGCACATGAATCTTTTCTCCTCTTGTCCTATGTTGGTGCTCACCTGCAGTCCACCCTCTGAGCTTTGGAAGACCAAAGTGATACTACCATAATCAGAGTGTTCACCACAGCGCAGCTGATTTTCCTTCACACATGTGCTGTTCACCGGAGGGTAGTACAGAGTCCGTAGAGTCGTTCCATTCACATCACCTTAAAACCACCCACATCATTAAG